TTTCAGACCAACCTGGTCTACCATAGCAAGCTCTATACCAGCCAGGTTTTACATAGTGAGACCGTGTCTCAAATAATTAATAAAGGTGGTACACACCTGTAAGCCCAGCACATGGGACGGGGAGACAAGAGGACTGGAAGTTCAAGGCAAGCCTAAACTAAAAAATGAATAAAGATAATAAATTAAATAAAGATGGTGTTGGAAAAAGGAAAAAAATAAACAGCAGCAAGGTTAAACAAAAAATGAAGCTGAGGAAAAGAGTAAGCTGTTTTAAAATACAGATATAGAAGATGTAAATAAAGTCCGGTAAAAGTGAATAGATATAAATAAAATATGAATAAAACTATAAATAAAATTTTGAAAAACCTAAAACTATAGTAAAAAGATAAATAAGCTGAATTTTTTAAATATATAATTAACACAACATCCTTTCCCAGTCTTTAAAAACTAGAATGTTATTCGTTATGTTATTGCTCTAGAAGTTTCTCTGTTTAGCTACTAAAAGCCAGTGCTGGCCATAGGAGCCAAGCAGGTTGCCACTTACCACACACAGAATCTGTCTGTTTCTGTCTCTAACTCCCTCCCTCCCTCCCTCCCTCCCTCCCTCCCTCCCTCCCTCCCTCCCTCCCTCCCTTTCCCCCGTCTAGTGGGGATATGGCAAGATTCACACCAAATCCTCATACTTGATTTAAGGCTTACATGGCCAGTTAATGCATAAGCTAAGGGGTATTCTGCAAATGCATCAAAGAATGGGGAGGCAAAAAAAATGCACCACGTTCTGCACTGGACAGAAAGAATCAAGGAAACCCAGTACTCTGCCTACCAGACCCCACCCAGGAATTAATAACCCCAAAGGAGGCTGCAGAAATAAATTGATAACCCAAGAGTAGGCCTACCTAATGACCAAGTACCAGTTATAAAGTATCAGCTCAAAGGCCACTCTGTGCTCTCAGTCTCCACAGTAACCTGAAGATAACTGGGTTTATGACTCATTAGAGTAGTCAGGGTCAGTGACCACCATGCCCTCCACTCCCTGCCTAAATACCACAGCTTGTCCAAGGAGATGTATATCTTATGCTCTCACTATATCACCCCCAAAACCATGCATTCCGTGTTTATTTCTCCACTCATAGCCTTGGAGGCCAGAGGTAATATTCCATTTGTCTGACACCTTGTTCTTGGGTCCTTCTGGCAGTCAGGTTGATATCATGTAACCCAAAGCCTCTACCATAGTCACACAGTTAGCATAAACTACGTATTAGAACATTCCAAAGGCTTACTTGCTACTTCTCAGGTAATAGAGGCAAAGGGTCAAATCCTTCTTTGGGCAAGGTTAATCCTTTGCCACACGGTATTCAAAAGAAAGGAAAACATAAATAAAAACTTCTGCATAAATTTTCATAGCAACATTATTTTATAATAGCAATAAATAAATATTTGGCTCCAAAAGTTGGCTGGGCTTTCTTCTTTTAGTCCCAAAGTGTACACAGACTTCCAATTATAAATACCACAGAATAACCTTTTCTAAAACTAGATGATTTTACAGCAGAGTTTGCTAAGAGACATTTCTTTTTTTTAATATTTATTTATTTATTATGTGTACAACATTCTACCTCCATGTATGTCCACACGCCAGAGGGTGCTAGATCTCATTACAGATGGTTGTGAGCCACCATGTGGTTGCTGGGAATTGAACTCAGAACCTCTGGAAGAGCAGCCGGTGCTCTTAACCACTGAGCCATCTCTCCAGCCCGAGACATTTCTTATTATCATCCATGTATTTGTCTTTTTTGTGTAATTTCTCTCTCTACATTCTACAAATTTGTCCTGGAAGACATTCATTCGCTTTTAACATTTTATTGGTTGTTGCTAAAATATGCCTTTTACTATTTGGTTTATAAGTATCTGTATATAGATTTAAGCCAATTGATAATAAAAATACTCAGATAAAAATGCATCTTGAGCTTAACATCATCCTCATTTTCATAAGGTTTGTCAAATATGTGGAAATTTTAAGGATACATATTTCTATGTAATATAACCAAATTTTCCAAAAGAACTATCCAAAGCTAAGAAGGTCTGTTTTGTGAGAATGTGCTTTTGTCAGTGAAAGAATCTAGTAGGTATCTAGATTACCACTTCATTGGAAATGGACAAGTCTAAATCACATATTTTTAGGATAAGTTTAATTAACAGTAAGTGTAAGGCTGGATTGGATTATATTAGAGTTATATCGCATTCCTGAATTTTTTTATCCTTTGAAGTTGTTTAAAGATAAACCTCCTTCAGGAGTGGTGCTACACACCTTGATCCTAGCACTCGGGAGGCAGAGGCAGACTATCTTTGTGAGTTCAAGTCCAGCCTGGTCTACATAGTGAGTTCCAGGATAGCCATGGATACACAGAGAAAACCTGTCTTGAAAAATTCCTTTACTAGTTGACAGTATTGTCTTAGAAGAAGAGGATTGAGTATTCAAGAAAAATGAAATAATTATACAACAAATAATGTGAGACATTCTTCAGCAACTATCAGTGGGGTATTAAAAACAGATCATCTCCCAGATCAAAGTTATAGAATGTAGAAATATAAACTGCACCAGATAAAAAATACATAAGTGATAATTAGGAATGTCTCTTAAGCAAACTGCTATAAAACCATCTAGTTTTTAGAAAAGATCATTCTGGGAACTGCAAAAATGGCTCAGTAGTTAAAAGAGTTTGATATTCGTGCAAAGGACCCAAGTTCAATTCCCAACACCCACATAGACCTGCTCACAACTCTGTAACTCCAGTTCCAGGTGATCTGATACCTCTTCTGACTTCCATATACATAGTAAACATGCATACACATTCACATAAATATTTTTAAAGTCATGTGATATTATAATTAAAAGTTTGTACATTTTGGTGGTAAAGAGGAAAGCCAGCTATTAGAAAATAATGCTGCTGTTATTTTGTTTTAATTTCTATTGGGTATCTTGAACTATGAAAAGTCCTGCCATTTTGTTTTTTCTTTTTTTTATTTTTACTTTTAAAAAATATTTACTCTTGCCAGGCATGGTGGCTCATACCTTTAATCTCAGCACTCAGGAGGTAGAGGCAGGTGGGTCTCTGTAAGTTTGAGGCCAACCTGGTCTACAAAGTGAGTTCCAAGACAACCAGGACTACACAGAGAAATCCTGTCTTGAAAAAGTATATAAGTAAATAAAATAAATAAATAATGTTTGCTCTTAACTTTTCATTCAGAAAATTAAGGACATTTGATTTAATTCATAAAGGTTTTGACAGTATATGTGGTCTCATTCTATTTTCTTAGAAAAAAAAATCTCGTGTTAGCATATATGTGTACCAATGTATTTTAAGATCTCTTAAAAGGAAATCTATAACAACTTTTTTTAGTTTTTCGAGACAGGGTTTCTCTATAGCTTTGGAGCCTGTCCTGGAACTCGCTCTTGTAGACCAGGCTGGTCTCGAACTCATGGAGATCTGCGAGTGCTATGATTAAAGGCGTGCACCACCACCCGACTCAAAAGATATAACATTTTAACCATAACAAATGGTAATTTAGCTTAGGCACAGGAATTTATCTGTCATGGGCTAGATTCTTCCTGCTCTTTCTCCCTATGAATAGTCAGTGTGTTCCATGGTAATGCTTAATAAATGTGTTGAATTTACCAGTGAATGACAGAGTAGTACAAACTTATTTTAAAATGTTTGTAACAAAATCCTTCAGTAACTTACTACAGTGATGGAATGTGTGTGTGTGTGTGTGTGTGTGTGTTGTCTAGTTTGGCTGAAATGTGGTTCTTGGAACTGAGGAGTTAAATTTTTCAATGTATGCCATTTTTTAAAATAACACGTATTTATAGAGGGAGCACACACGTGGAGATTAGGGAATAATTTGCAAGAGTCAGCTTTCTCCTACCATGTAGGTCCTAGGGATCTAATTCATCATCAGTTTTGGTGGCAAAACCCCTTATCTGCTGAGCCATTGTTCCTCATAGTATGTAATTTTAATTAGCCTTTTTTTGTAATTTTGGAGATGAAACCCAGGGCCTCACACATGCAACAGAAGGGTTCTAACATGGCTCAACATCTTGCCCCCATTTAAGTTAGTATAAATTTAAGTAGCCATTCATGACTGTGGTCTAATGCATAGTTCAGGTGTATTAGGACAATTTCAGGAAGTAAGGTTACTTAGATACTGGATTTATTGTGACCTTTTAGAGCCATGGCTGTCCTAGCAATAATATTAACTATGTCTTTTCTTTCACTTATTCTGAGCAACTGCTTTCTCAGTAGTTTATGGTATTGCCTGAATTCATGACATCCTAGTACATAGGTAGTTGATGTAGGTTCTGTCTTAAGCTTTATGTCCAGGAATTTTTCAGCTATTAGTAGGTAGTGTGTGAAAAAGTATTACAATAAAAGCATATATAGGCAATGTGGAAGACGCAGAGAAGAAACCATATAACTTTACATAAATTAAGAGACTTCTCAAAAAAAGCAACTCAATACTTGCAGCTTAAATTGAAACCTTAAAGTGGGAATTTCATATTTTTGCTCTTTTCTATATGACCAAGTTTCCTGGGTAACATAAAAAAAATTCTTGGGCTGGAGAGATGGCTCAGAGGTTAAGAGCACTGGCTGGTCTTCCAGAGGTCCTGAGTTCAATTCCCAGCAACCACATGGTGGCTCACAACCTCCCTAGCGAGATCTGGTGCTCTCTTCTGGTCTGCAGGCATATATGCAGGCAGAACACTGTATGCATAATAAATAAATAAATCTTTTTTTAAAAAAAAAAAAGGGGGGGAAGCATAATTTTTTAAAAAATTCTTACTTGTAAAATATGTTTCTCTTTTTTTTATTTGTAAAATATTTGTCATGGTCAAGCCTTTCCCTGTCTTTTTTGCTTTCTATAAGCTCACAGTTGGGGCCAGAGACATAAGTGTTCCCTATCCTCTTCCCATCTACTGCCTTAACACATTTTTTCTCCTTTAGTGCTCTGTGAAAAGCTGTATCACTGCCTTTCATGTCACCTGTGCCTTTGAGCACGGCTTGGAAATGAAGACTATCCTAGATGAAGGTGATGAAGTAAAATTCAAGTCATTTTGCCTCAAGCATGGCCAAAACAAGCCAAAAATTGGGGAGGCCGAGTACCACCACCATAGAGTTGCTGAGCAGAGCCAGGCAAAAAGTGAGAAAACCAGCCTGCGGACACAGAAACTTCGTGAACTAGAGGAAGAATTCTACACCTTGGTCCAGGTGGAAGATGTTGCCAAAGAGCTGGGGCTATCTGCATTAACTGTTGACTTTATCTATAACTACTGGAAACTGAAGCGCAAAAGCAACTTCAACAAGCCATTAATTCCTCCCAAAGAGGATGAAGAAAATGGCTTGGTACAGCCAAAAGAAGAAAACATCCATACTCGTATGAGAATGTTTATGCACCTGCGGCAGGACCTAGAGAGGGTAAGATGACCAGCTCTTACTATTGTCTACATAGAGATAGAAGATATTTTTAAAATGACCACTCCATTATATAGTGTGAGCTTCTGTGTCTTTCTTTATCATCTGAGTTCATTGTGGTCCCAGACATTGGGTTCTGTTTAAATTTTGACTGGGATTGGAAAGGCTTCATAAGTACTTGCTCTATGAACTTTTAATTTATGATTCCCAGTTGATTTACTTTTAAATTCACTGTCAAGTCTGAAATGACTCAGCTATATTTTACTGACAAATTCCTGAGACTGAAGCCTGATGAGTGAATTTTGTTCAGAAAAGCCCTGTCTCAGGGTTTTTTAGACTCAGCGCTATTGACATCTTGAACTGCATTAGTTCTTTATGTGGAGTGCTACCCTTTATTACAAGTGGCAGGATAGGATGTTTAGCAGCATCCGTGATTTGCACACTAGATGCCAGTCCCCTTACATACTTGGTTTTGACAGAGAAAGTTGTTTTCCAAATTTACCAGATTCCTCCTAGGGGTTAAAATCATCTCTGGTTGACAACCACTTCAGCAGATAATTTAACTTACGATATATTCATCAGGTAAATTTAGTGCTATAAGAATTGAGAGAAAAGTTAGGTACTGTGTTTATCCTAGGAAATTTCATAATTGTCTAATTCTGGAAATTAACCAGGCTTGGTGGTACAGAGGTCAAGTGCTATCATTCATACTCAGGAATAAAAAGGAAAGGCTAACATATTATGCCCATTATCTTCTCAGCTGGACTGTGTACATAAATATTGATCCTCTTAAATTGTAGACTAGAGAATAGGTTTCAGAGAGAATCTTGGAGCACTTGCTCTTAAAGCCCATTGACATGGGAACCATGTCCCAATGATTATCATGCTATAGTAATTCCTTTGATTTGGGTCATGGTCTGTGGCCCTTGGGTCTTGTCTTCACTCCTCACTCCCACAGGCACCAGAATTCAGTGACCTTCAGTGTAACTGAACAATTTCAACTGTAAATTTGCTTATTATAACAAACATCTTTATTCACTGGGGATTGGGCTTGCAGGTTCGAAATCTATGCTACATGATAAGCAGGCGAGAGAAGCTGAAACTTTCACACACCAAAGTGCAAGAACAGATCTTCGGTTTGCAAGTCCAGCTTATCAACCAAGAAACAGAAGGTAACAACCTGTGTGTTAAAATTGTACTAGCAAATATAGAGACTGATTATATCCATTTTTACAATTTGGTTTTATATCTATTGTGCCACTTAAAAATTGTTTTGTATGCTTCAGTCTAATTCTGATAATTATGTGACCTATTTCACTGTCAACTTCCAGTGAGAAATTAATTCCTGGGTAGAAATCCCCTTCCCGGAAAAAAAAAATGAAAGGAAGGAAAAGAAATTCCAGGATAGGATTAGAGGAGTTGTAAATCTAAGCCAGATAATCTATTAATTACAGCCATGAAAGTGTTTTGTAGTTATCAAATTCACTTAAAATCAAGAAGCCAACACCAAATTCTAGTTTCCAGAAACCATTTAATTCCAGGGTTCCTTATCTTAAAAGTAATCTGTTAAAACAGATCTTTAGCTAGAAGTTAAAAGATATAGTTCTAATCTTTTCATTTATTCGCTAATATTTATTGAGAACCTACTAGGGTAGTGGTTCTCAATCTGTGGGTTGCAACCCCTTGGGGGTCAAATAACCTTTTCACAGGGGTCATGGAAGACCGTTAGAAAATATAGGTATTTACATTACAATTCATAACAGTTGCAAAATTACACTTATGAAGTAGCAACGAAATAATTTGATGGTTGGGGAACCATTAAGCATGAGTAACTGTATTAAAGGGTCACAGAATAGGAAGGTTGAATACCACTATACTAGGAACTAAGAACTAAACTAGAAGATAGAGCAGTCAACAGAGAAATCCCTACATTACCCATTTGATGAGAAAGATACATGATGATACAGTACCTAAAGTAGATGCTTGGCTAGAATCATGACAGTCATATACAGGACACTTCCCTATGTGTCTTTTAATATAGAATAGGTGGGAGAACCTGATCACTAAGGGTAACTTAGGCAAAATGTATAAAATCAGCACCTGTTAAAAGCCAACCATAAAATAAGATAAAAACATAGAAACAAGATGTTAGGTAGACATCAAAAGCCCCTGGGGTATTTGTGACTGCATTATAGGATACTGGTATAGCAGGAAGTAGCAGGGATACTCAGCCACAAGGTTACCCTGTAACATGACTGTCAAAGCAATAAAAAGTAAAGAAAAACAAGGAGGAGCCTCTGTGTGATAACAAGATTGGACTCAGCCAAGTGGCTTCTGATTATAAGAATATAGCAGCTTGGGCTGGAAAGATGGCTCAGAGGTTAAGAGCACTGACTGTTCTTCCAGAGGTCCTGAGTTCAATTCCCAGCAAGCACATGGTGGCTCACAGCCATCTGTAATGAGATCTGGTGCCCTCTTCATGTCCAGCAAGCATACAAACAGACAGAACACTGTATACATAATAAATAAATTTTAAAAAACGAAAAAAAAAGAATATAGCAGCTTACAGCATCAACATGTGGCAAGCCCTAGCAGAGATGGAGGCTGTAGTTGTTCAAAATGGTCCCTTGGGGGAATGCATGCTATCCTTTAGGATACTTCCAAGCTATCCTTTCTCATTTTTATGAAGCTATATATTATAAGAAGATAATGGGCAAAGACCAATTTTATGGTAACATATCCGGATAATTAATGCATCCTAGCATAGGCATCCTATACCTCTCCCAGGGCCAGCAAGATGATTCAGCAGCATTTGCTTCAAAAGCCTGGTGGCCTGAATTTGATCCTTAGAACCATGTAAAGATGGAGAGAACTGACTCCATAATGTTGTCATCTACCTTCACATGCATGCTATCGCACATGTGCCCATATATGGGTCCAATAATATTTTTTAAATTATTCTACACCCCACAATGGTAATTTGTAATTAGGATATTATAAAGTAAGGACATAAAATATTCAGGAACCACCCACTGCTTCTAATCCCAGATTAAATAAAATACCTATGTGACTTTCTATTTGGCTTGTTTGGGAATGCCTGAAGAGAATGAGCGATAAAATCTGAAATGTCTTGTGTTTAAGGCACATCTTCAGTCCTACTCATTACCCATATGCCCAATCATAAACACACAAGAAATGAAAGACATAGAAATGGAGACATAAGACAGAGCACACTAGTTGTTGCTATTGTTTTATAGGTTAGGAAAGCAAAGGTGTAAAGGTTGAGAGCCATGGATAGTGTGGGACTGTGGGTTCATCCTCTACTGCAGCTCACTTTACCTGCTCACCATGGTATACATGCTCATCAAAGACAGGTGCTCATTAGACATTTGGAACAATAGGTTCATGAACTCTCTTTGTGATACACATATGCTTAATAATTAAATCAGTTGTTAAGCAAATCTTCCTTTTTGATTTCAGGACTTTCTTTGACAAATGCACTAGAGAACTCATTGTTTTACCCACCACCACGTATCACCTTAAAGTTGAAAATGCCTAAATCAGCCTCAGAAGACTGCAGAGACAGCTCCACAGAAACAGAACACCAACCCTCCTCACCTGGCAGCAGCTCCCCTGGTCACAATAAAAGGAGCCCACAAATGCCTGAGGAGCCACTGGACATGAATGTGAAAATGTATCCAAGACATCCACTAGAAATCAAGAGTAACTGTTTGCTGGCTAGTCGCAGTCATTCTCGAAGTGAAGCCAAGAGTTCCAGTCCTGCTCAGAGAGCTCCATCTGCCGAGTTCTATCATGGGCAATCATCAGGAAAGCCTCTGGCCCTTCAGGCTGCCCTCCACGGACAGGCTTCTATTGGTAATGGGAAGAATCAGCCTAACTCCAGGCTTGCCGGTTCCAATGGCCTGGAGGGCAACTGGTCTGGGAACATCACCCAGAAAGATAATTTAGATGAGATGTTCTGTGACCAGGAGTCAGTGCTCAGCTCCTACTTACCCAGTCAGGGCAACATTAGAAAATCTGGCATAGAACACTTTAGCAGATCCTTTAAGGAGGCCACCAATACATGGGTGAGGCCCACTGAGGACCTCCAGTACTGTGTTAAACCAACTAAGAATGTGAGTTCTAAGGAGCAGTTGTGGGGTAGACAGCTTCTCAGGCGGTCAGCAGGAAGAGCTCCATATCAGGAAACTGATGGGTATTGCCCTGATTTAGAGCCCAGCGATTCAGAAGCAGAAGGGGAAGGGAGTAAAGAAACACCAAGGGTAAAGAGAGAAAGTTCTGACCGAGAAAATCCTTCTCATGATTCTGTTCGGGAATGCCATGGGAAAAGCGAGACACATCCTCATTCCCACAGCTCAATGCAAAGGTGATCAGAAATACCTAAGCAGCTTTTGCCTTTTCCCCACATTCTAGGGGAAATCTAAACACCAAAAGGATTCTAGTGTATATTAGGAGGAATTGCAGGGAAAATGATGGTGTGATGTTTTTGAAAAGGTTTCAGGTCTAGTTTTTATAAGCACATTACAAGAGTTGCAGATTGACTGGGGTTGCTTTGTTGGAGGCTGCTGGTAACAGTTGGGCCCAGAGTATTTGCTCAGTGAGTACTTCAGGACTGCTTTTCAGTTATCTTAACACACTGATTAATCTACGTATTAAGAATCCTTGCATTGTCAATGGATTTGCAAGAGAACATGACAGACACTAAAACTACTTATCTTTTGAAACTATAACATGTGACTCCTTAGAGCTCATGTCTGTAGAAAGTTTCTAATTCCACTGGTATCTATAAACCTCTTTAAGGGAGAGACCAGGAGAGCAGCATTCTCAGATACTGTCACTATTGTCTTCCTTGCTTCATGCAAGGTTGAGTTTCTTTCACAGTATCATATCGTATAAAGGCAATTCTCCTAAGTGTCCAGTGCCTGTTCCTAGACTTGCTTGTTGGGAACACACTCATAACTCTCTTATCCAGCTAACAAGCTAACTTGTGGATAGTGTTTACAAAAGTACTACTTCCAAGGAAATGCTCTGCTTCTCAAGGCATTTGCGAAGACTTCAGAGCCTTTCCTGAAGTGTGACCTTTTCTGGGATATTTGTACCAGGTCAGGGTTTTTTGTGTTGTTTTCAAATAAGTTTGACTAAAGTTGGGCTGACAGTTTTTGTATACCTGCTTTAATGTTTATAAAATTTTTATTGAGGTATAATTAAAATATAGTGTAATGCACAGAGGGTTAAGTATTCTTACCTGCTTTAATTTTGAAACAGATTTTTATTGTCAGACAAATTTGAAAGCATGTGTTTAACACATGGATATAATTTAGCTTTGTATGAATATTGAATCCAAGGCAATTTCCCAAGTGTAAAAGTTAGAGCCATTTTTCAGAACTTGATTATACCACATTACCAAATAATTAGCCTTGATTCATTTCTAGAGGAAGAGAATTTTGAATTAGAGAATGATATAGGTCTGCTTCCCATTTAAGATAAGGGGAAAGTAGCAGTTTATAAAATGTGAGGCAGACTGTAATTCTCAACTCCCTTTTCTTCTTAGCCTTAAAATAATATTCTCTTTCTTCTAGTTTGGGAACATACAGAGAAAGTTTTCAAACAAGAGGCCATTTTCAATTTCTGAAGTTTCATGCTGGTGCCAGTGAGGGCAGTAGCCCTCTAGCCAATGCAGTGGAGCAGTTGGCCCCCTCCTGCTTATGTTCTTAGAACCTTGTTAAAGGCGTCTTTGGGGTTTTGTCCCCTCTCCCTCTCCCTCTCCCTCTCCCTCTCCCTCTTCCTCTCCCTCTCCCTCTCCCTCTCCCTCCTGTATTTTGCCTTTGGCTGCATCTTCAAAATGTTTGTGTGCCTATGAACATGTATAAAATGTGTGAACATACTATAACATGTGTAGTAGGTGTTCTGTATTTTGTTTTAGTTGAAAAATGAGGAAGAAAATTTCCTCTTAATACCCTCAGCCTCTGTTTTTGAATACTCCTGAGTACATATAAATTTAACACTTTCATGGTAAAGAGAGTATAATGGAGGTGAGTGGTAAATTTCTTATATTAAAGGCCAGTAAATTGGCCTGTGTGCTTTCATGCCTTTGAATTCTGAGTGGGGGTGGGGAACAAACATGAAAACAGTGCTTTAGCCAAATTCCATTGGGAGAGTATTGCCTGAAAAATCATTCAAGTCAGGGAAATAAAATGGTAATATTTTTTACAGAATTTTCCTGGGTAACAAATGAGCCTTCAGTTTGTATACATTCCAAATACCCCAAAATGCATCTGCAACATTTTGTTCTTTGAAGTATTACCTCTTAACCTTTGTTAATGTTTTTTGTCTTGTCTTAAATAATTCAAGTTTTGAAGATAAACTCAATCTTTTTTCAAATGTCACCTTTTTATCAATACTTTTTCATTAAATTATGAAAACTATAAACTACTGTTAGTGTGGTAATTTTCTGTTTTGGCATACTGATTTTTAAAAATCTATGAATTTACTTATGTTAGAAGGGAGGTTCAAGGATGAGGAATTGAATGTTTAGAAGCACAAAATCATCTGATCATGGCAATGCACGCCTAGACTCCCAGCATTTAAGGCTGAGGCATGAAGATAACTTCTAGGACAGCCTCGGATATAAGACCCTGTTTCAAAGAAAAAAAAGAAAGAAAAAAGCACATATTCACAATTCAGGTCAATATCAGAATTCAAAGAGAACCCTTTGTACTTTGCCCAGAAACCATGATTTCATCAGGCTAGTAAGATAAAAACCTTAGGATCAACATTTAAAATGGTCAGTGACATAACGTGACAGGATACACAAGACAATTGTTTATAATACTCATTTTATGCAGAACTCTGGAAGTCTGTCATGGAATCAAAGTTATATGGTCTCATTGGGCAGGACTTTGAGGGGGTCAATATTTTCAAGTTGTCAAGGATCATTAAGTAAATCAATAGTGAAAGAGATGAAAATGATTGTTTCTGCCTCTACCTACCTCATGTGCTTGTTAGTAGATGACTGTTTTAGTAATTCATTCTGAAGATTTTAAACTATTAAGTATATCCTGTTACATCCAAAAAAGGTTGTTGGGTTTATAAGAATGTATACATTTCCAGTGGTAGGTGAACGTTTGTGTTAAAGAAATGTTTAAATGTAGAGAGCAAGCCAGATAATAATGCACAGTCCCAGGTTTTTTACCTGCAAGATCAAAATCCTCAATATGTTTGCTTGTTTATTTGGGTTTTATATTTTGTTTTGTTTTTCTGTTTTACTATGGTGAGACTGGAAACCAAGACTCTGAACGTGCTAAATAAACACTCTCACACTGAGCTGCCAAGCCCCTTTACTGGCTTTCAGAACAGAAGAAAAGTACACAGCAGCAAAAGCATATTTAGCGCCCATTAACTTTGATGTATTATTTAAAAAACTGTATTATATAAACACTTGATTTTCTCAGTTGGATTGTTTTGTGAAAATCAGAAATTGTGTGATAATGGTTTTAAAAGAAGGTTTAGTTAATAAATCCCACCTTGGGAGTGGCCCTTCTGCAGCCAACTTTTTTTTTTAAATATTTTTTATTGAAAAAAAAATTTCCGCCTCCCATTTCCCTCCCTGTCTCCCTTTTCCCCCTTCCTCCTCTCCTCTCCCCCTCCCCCACTCTCCCCCTCCCTCTCCAGTCTGAAGAGCAGTCAGGGTTCCCTGCCCTGTGGAAAGTCCAAAGTCCTCCCCGCTCCATCCTGGTCTAGGAAGGTGGACATCCAAACTGGCTAGGCTCCCACAAAGCCAGAACATGAAGTAGGATCAAAACCCAGTGCCATTGTCCTTGGCTTCTCGGCAGCCCTCATTGTCCGCCATATTCAGAGAGTCCGGTTTTATCCCATGCTTTTTCAGTCGCAGTCCAGCTGGCCTTGGTGAGCTCACAATAGATCAGCCCCACTGTCTCCGTGGGTGGGTGCACCCCTCGTGGTCCTGACTTCTTTGCTCATATTTTCCCTCCTTCTGCTCCTCCTTGGGACATTGGGAGCTCAGTCC